GGAAAGAGAGCATATAAAAGGGTTAAAAAGAGGTTTGCATTTCTACCACATGCCCTATTGTGTGAACATATGCATGAGTCTATTGAAAGTTTTCAGAAGATGGGCAGGCCACCAGTTGCTGGTCTCCTGCAGTTCCAGTAGACATCTGTTGCCCCAGAGCATTAACCAATCTGTTCAATGGGACATCCTTCCTTTGTTGGATAGAATGATGCAGACAACAGCACTCCCTGAAATACAATGGTAATTAAATACATAGAAACTACAGCAGTAGGTATTTATTACATATTCATTATTTTATTTGCATTGTTGCAGTACCTTTATCATTTAGATAACTGATACATTCACTTTTTTTCTTTTCTGATCAGCTCTATACTTCTGTTTGTGACAAGTAATGACAGTGTTTCAAAAACTGTGATTTCAATATTTTCCATTTTATGTTTAGAAGACTTAGAAGTCTGCCTGGGTGCAAACATGCTGAACTATTTCACTGTAGAATGTATCTTCAGAAACTTTTGACGGTCCTTTGAGAATGCACAATTTCTGTCACACTGTGCCACATGACACGCTATTTTACTCCTTGTTATTTTCCTCTGTGAATGAAATCTGCATTAAACTACTTCTCTGTGTTCAGTTGTAAGTTGAAAATATTCTGAATGCACATTAAAAGATTAGGTGATCTACTTGCCCGTATCCCTTTGAGAAATAGAAATATTTTGTGTGAAGGTGAATTAAAGAGCTGGTTATTGTTAATGGTTAGTGAAAAATAATGGTGACTTTTAAGAAATGGGAAAAGAATACAGTTCTACAATGTAGTACCACAGTGCTCATCTAGAGTATTACACTTATACTTGATAAATGTCTTTGGCTCAGTAAGACAGTATTTTAGGCCTTTAACAGCAAACCTAGTGTGAGATACTGTAGTTTTAAATAGGCTATAGTTTAAAACTTACATTGTCATAAGTATGTCTAAATCAGGAGTTACCCATTTTATTCACTTCTTCATAAGCACAAATTCTGTAACTCAGCTGTGGTGAGCATAACCAAAAGTTGAAAACTTTCTTGACAAGAATTTTTTGGCTGATTTTGTTTGTTTGTTTGTCTCTCAGTTGAGTCAGAATTCATAGCAGATATTTTTCGTAGCTGTACTGCATTGTATCAGTAAGTGTACTTTAAAGCAATATGTGCATAATGAGAGTTCCTTGTAAATAAAGAGTGCAAGGAGTTCTTCTTATCTGATGTTACTCCTTAGATAAATGTGACCTTTTCTGGTTTTTGTGAGCTTCATTGTCCATTGTACACTAGTGTTTATCTGGAATACAAATTCATTCAAATAGACTGGCTAGCATGTTGCTCTTCAGTAACCAAATCAAGATAAAATAATCAATTCCAGCAGTGTTCAACAGTGACATCTGATTTTCATGGTTCTAATCAATGAATCTCATAAAGGACATCATGTTGGGGGCTCCAAAGTCTAGCATTTCTAAGAGATGCTGCTGACCGCAGATACAGTGTACAAAGTTCACAGACAATGTAAAAATTCGTCTGAAAATAAATTCAATTTGCCTGCAGGCTTTAGGCCAAATGCTAGGAATAGGGTACTGCTTATGCAAAACTATTTCAGAAATCTTTCTCTTTGGATTTACAGTGTAAACATCGTTTTAAGTACCCTTTTAAAGCAATAGTATGGTGACTATATACTATCTATGGCAGATTTCAAAGTTGCTGCTCTTATTACTCTCTTATTCTTTAAGTAGTTTCTGAAAAACAGTAGAGTTCTGTGCAAAAGAAGCAATTACGTATTGGAGCAAGATGGAGATTGACAGGAGACTTAAAGCAGATAGATGCGAGGCTGATTACGTATACATTCCCAACAATGGACAAAGCTCAATTTACGGTCATTTTTCATATGCAGTTGATGTGCAAATCATCTAAAGTATGTTTGATATAATGCCTAATCTTCAGACACATTTGTATGCTAGTGAGTTCTTTGAATCCCACTGGAGGGTGTTACGATTGTAAACTTCAAGGAAGAAGCAACTGGAGAATGACTTAAGTATTATTTTAACTAACACTAAAAAAAAAAAAAAAATCCTCTTTCTGATCTGTGCACTTCAAGCTTTGTTTATTCCATGCTGTTAATATGCAACCTCCTCCTCCCCCCTTCCAAAAAGACCCCTCCCTCTACTTTTAGTTCTATACTAAAATGACATTTCACAGTACATGGATTTAGGCAGTGACCCATTATCTCCCCGTATTCTGCAGTGGCGGTACATGAGCCAGCTCAACTTTTCAGTCCAGCTTAAAAGTGTTGCCCATTAACTAGACTTCCTAGAGTCAGAGCAGATTGTGGGGTTGGTGGAACAATGATGTCGGGGCTTCCAGATCGGTTTGGCAGCTGCATTGTTCTCCGAGGGGAAACCAGACGCACTTAAGTCCTGCTCTCTTTCATGGGCTTTTGTTCATACCAAATTATTCTTTCGCTGTGCTAGTATTCATGATGGTATGTTAAAGGAGCGCATCCTAGCAACTAAAGGCTGGTTGCTAGGCAGCCTCGCTTCCAATAGGGGTTTCTTGTTTGAGATTTTTTTTTTTTAATTTTTTTGG